CAAGGCAGTGTCCTGTGCCCATCACTGGTTTATTTTTCCTTTTCTCCCCTCTCTATCCTAAACACAAGAGCTTGGAGTTTATTGTTGGATTGTCCAAGCCAATAAACCTGGCGTCTGCAGAATTTCACATTCCCCAAGGGCCTGGTGGTTTTTAATACTTGTGCAATGGAAGAGTGCTAATCTTCCTTTGTGCTTCACTTGAGAAGAAGCTTGGAGTACCAGGGTAGGGCCAGCGTGGTGCTTTGACATAGGGTGAAGGAAGTCAGGAGTTCAAGAGGAGCCAACTGAGATCTGAGATGTAGACTCAGGGGAGGCAGTTAGTACCGGAGGGCTTCTGGATTTCAGAGAGGGAAAGTTTGTGCCTGAGTCCGGGTCCAGGTGCGGGTCCGGGGCCAGGTGCAGGTCCGGGAGCAGGGTCCGCCCGAGTGTGGGCCAGGCTGTGGGCCAGGGTCGAGGTGGGGGATCGTAGGCCGGGGCGGGAATGAGGGCTGGCGTCGGGGTCGGGCCTCGCGTGGCTGTGCGCAGCCCCTGCCCGCGGAGCCCCCCTTTGACCTGGCCTTGGGCCGGAGGGGCGGCCGCGGGCCCAGTTCAGCGGTGCCTGTGCGCGGGGTGCCTCTCCACTCCTGCGCCGCCCTTGTCACCCATCCCCTTGGGCCACCTCTTCCGGGAGTCCCTGGCCATTTCTTTCCAGCCTGCCCTCGTATGTTAGAGCACATCTTACATTCTACCTGCCAGAGCGGTTTCTGTGATTTTTTCTTCAGTGCCAAGCACGTGGAAGGCGCTCAGAAATCCTAGGAGAAGGAAATGACCCTTTTTTTATGGTCCCCTCTACCGCCTAGTTTTCCTCCACAGGGCCCTGCACAGGTTCTCTGCATATTGTATGTTTGATAAATACCCGTTGGTGAATTTTTTGAAAGTGGTTGTAGGGGAGAAGCTATAAAAGAGCACGTTAGTATTTGCTGATCAGTGGCACCGCCTGCCTCGGTTGAGAGTGGTGGTAACTTTTCCCTAGTGGAAGGAAGGTGAATTCCTGAGCCATGGAGACCGTAAGTTGTTGACATGTTCCGGTGAGCTGCCTCGGGTGCAGTACACAGAAGGTGCACACAAACATTCAGTTACCTAGAGTCTGTCAAGACTCCTGGTAACTCCTGTGAAGACATCCATCTCCATGGAGCACCTGGGACGGGCATTGAACTCCGTCCGTCCCGCGTGCTCTGTGGAGTTAGGACTCAGCTTGAACTTGCAGACTTCTAGAGGCCCCTCATCTCCCCCCTTGCTGGTTCTCAAATGTCATTTATCACTCTTTCCAGCAGGTTGGGCGTCTTACTCTTCCACAAACATTGCTTTACTCATTTCCGCTGTCTTATAATATGTTTATAATACGTGTCTCTGTGTTAAAAAGCCCTAATTGTGCTTAAAACTCTCTGGAATTCCACCCACATCCAAAGGGCTGTCTGGCCTCTTCCTCCTCCTGCAGCCCTGGACGATGTGTGGGGAAGGGACACAGCCATGTGTTTCATCGCCTCCAACTTGTGAAGCAGGCAGGTAGGAAGGTACAGGTCAGTCCCTAGGATGGGAGCCTGGCCGACTGTAGCCTCACGCTTTGTCTTCGGTGTTAGTCCTGTCTGCCCACTGAAACGGAGAGTCAGGAAGGGAGGTGGGGGACATGCCTCCTCCCCTGGGTCTTGGGGTGTCGTTGGGCAGACGCATTGGAAAGCATTTTCAGATAACAGGTGCAGAGCCTTGTATGAAAATTCTTTACTGCCCCTGAGTATTATATTTAAGTCATCCTCTTAGTATCTTAGCTACAGCTAAACTAACTTTGCCTCTTTCATAAGTCAAATAATTGATCCTGTGATGTTAATGTCTCTTGTCACTTAAAATTATTGCTCACAATTTTAACTGCCAGCTAACTGGGAAAACCTCAAAAGAGACAAAAGTTTCCAGGAATACGAAGTACAGGGTACTCTTTTTTTCTTTTTTTTAATATATTTTTATTGATTTCAGAGAAGAAAGGAGAGGGACAGAGAAAGAAACATCAATGATGAGAAAGAATCATTGATCATTGATCAGCTGCCTCCTGCACACCCCCTACTGGGGATAGAGCCTGCACCTGGGCATATGCCCTTGACTAAATCAAACCCTGAACCCTTTAGTCCGCAGGCCGACACTCTATCCACTGAGCCAAACCGGCTAGGGCCAGGATACTCTTAATGTTCTACCTGTTTTCTCAGGAAAAATAATGACGCAGCTCTTACATAGTTTGATGAGGAATAAACGCTTAATCAGTAGCTGGCTGTAGCTGGGTCTCAGAGAAGCAGTTGATTTTAGCATGGGACTGTTCTGTTTTATTTTGTTTTGTTTTTAAACATGTCTTCCAGTAATAAATATGCTTTATATCCACCTGAAATGCACACAGATAGATATATTTATACTTACTATATAAAAACACAGTCTGATTTTTTTTGTTTCATTAAAATAATGCTATTGCTATCCACTGTGTTGACTTTATAGTAACCGACCACATTTTGAGAAAAGCTGGTCTTGGAGAACCCAGGGTCCTGGCTGTGTGTGGGGATGAGGAGGACCAGAAAAGCTCGTGTTCGGGGTCATGGGGAGGTGCCGGTTGCCTGAGGGAGAGGACAGAGGTGACGCGGCACGGAGCACCCTCTGTCCCAGGAAGTGAGGGTCACAGTGAAGGAGAAAGACCTTCCACCTTGTTTCAGAAACCCAGGCTGAGAAGTCCCTCTTCTTTCTGGAATCCATTCTTTCCACTGGGCCTGAGTGACCCTTGTAAGATGTTGTCTCCTGCTTTTGAACCTCCCAGGGCCTCCTTGTGGTCCTTAGGCTAAGTCCCTATTCCTGAATGGCTTCAGAGGCCATCGGGGTCAGGCCCCTGCCTGACTCTGGCCCCAGGCTGCGATTTTCTTGGTCTGGACCTTTCCAGGGCTGTTCACTTAGCCTGGCACGTGCTTCCTCAACACCCCCTCCCCCAACTCTTCTGTATGCCTCTGGTCTCAGTTTAGATCTGACTGACGTCTTCTGGGAGGTGTTCCCTGACACCCTCACCCCTCCGGAGTTTGGATGGGTACTGTTCCCCTCTTCCCTTACCACCCCATAAGACTCTCTGCTGTTTACCTGTTCCCACAGCTAGGCTGGTTTCGCCTGGTCAAGGCCTCACACATGATAGACATGTGTTTGTGGGGTGAGTACGTGAATTAGATCTTGGGTGCAGACAGATTCGGGGTTCAGTGAATGAGGCTGATGAAGAGGCTGCCCTGTGGGGTGCTGATCATGCTTTACTTTATCTTTTGAAGGTGATTCGGATGACGGGCTTCATGAAGGGCCTGTACACGGAGGCCGAGATGAAGTCAGATAATGTGAAGGTAGGTTTGAGGGGGGGCCTTAATGAATGGTTTGTTTTTTCCCCTCGCCTTAATGAATTTTTTTTTTTTTATAAGCTGTGTACCTTGGTGTGTGTCATTTATATGCTGATTATGGTTGGATAATCTATGAATTGCTGTGTACTCTTTTTCATTTCATTTTCTCATTTTTGGCAACTGTATTCATGCTAATTTTATTCACTGAGAAATGGGATTAGTGTTGCAAAGGTTAGTGCTAGCACATCAACTAATATTAAAAGCTTTATTGAATTTTTTTGTTTTGTTATAGAGGGTCAGTATTTTTAAATTGACATCTAAAAATAGCTTTTTATGCAAACAGGAACTGTGCCTACCGAACATACTAAAGGTAACACAAACCATTTGAAGTATTTTATTATTTGTATTTTAAATGAAAATCTTTCAGGATAAAGATGCAAAAATTAGCTTCCTTCAGAAGGCCATAGACGTGGTGGCGATGGTCTCGGGAGAGCCATTGTCGGCGAAGCCAGCCCGGATCGTGGCGGGGCACGAGCCCGAGAGAACAAACGAGCTGCTCCAGAGAATTGGGAAGTGCTGCCTCAGCAAGGTAATGCTGCAGCCGGGCCCTTAAAACTCACCAGCACGAGAGCAGCGATTACAGAAGGAGTTTTGGGTGATGTGTGTTGGACGCTGCACTTTGAATCTGATCCCACCTAATCTGGAACCTTGGAGTTACATGGGAGTAACTTAAAACTGTGTAATGAAACAGAGACCCAAGTTCCACAGGCTTTCAGTGTAAAATTGGGACTCACAGGGACTCACAGGCACTCGGCTCCTGGGGCCGGTGGCCTGAGGCTGTGTGCCCAGGCTTCCCGGCCTTGTCCTCCTCCTTTCGGGGCCCCTTTCAGGGCAGGTGACTGTTTCCAACTGGGGCCCAGATAGATGGAGGAACTCCTTTTCTTACTTGGGGCTCATGGAATGTCCCAGTTCTCTGCTTGCCTTCCCAGCCTCTGGTGTCGCTTCCTTCCCTCCTTTCTTCCCTATTGCCCCTCCCCTCTCCTGGCTGTTGTTTGCAGAGCTGTGCTGCCTTCAGAGAAACCCTGTTTCAGTTGTACAGGGACTGGAATTGTTACTTCCTGAGGTCCTCACTATGGCCTGGAAGCATGGCCTCTGGTTAGGTGCAACCTGGTCCTGTTTGCTGAGAAGATGGAGAAGGTCATCCCCAGGGCCTGCCTTCTTTGTGGGAGCTGGGTAGCCCCCCAGGGGAGTGGGGTTGGACCTTTATGAAGGGCTAGCTAATAAAGCCCTTTGTGTACCTGGTGGGTTATGGGCTGGGGGCCAACCTTCATTGTTGCTGATAGCAGCAGTGGTGGCTCCTAGGAGGCCTCAGGAGAGCCCCTCTGGTCTGTGTCCAACTCACAGGCTTGGAGATGCAGAAGCTGAATTTGCCAGTGCGGGTGGTGGGGAGAGAGAATGTTTCCCCAATCCCCACCCCACATCCTTCACGTTGCTCCTCTTTCTAGAAAGCAAATCTGACTCCTGTCTTCCCCGCTGAATCCTTTGAGGCTTCCTGTTGCCTGGGTGTGTGTGCGTGTGCGCATAGACAGCTCTGTGATGTGGCTCATAAGGCCCAGAGAGACCCGCTGCTATTCCCCGTCCTCCAGTTCTCTCTTGTCTACTGTACCTGTGCCTGCCCTGAGGTCTCCTGCCCTGGTTGTTCTCCCACCTCCCAGTTTCATCTGGCAGCAAAGTGGGACCCCTAGCCTTTCCTCCTCCCAGGCTGGCTTGTGTTCCCATAGCACACACATAAGCACAGCCGTTTAACCATTGTATTTAGCCATGTCTCCCAGAACATCCCCTAGTATGCAGTATATCTTCCCGTACAGCGGTGGCCAACCTTTCCGACCTCACGGACCAGCGATTGGCAACCGCTGCTCCAGTATATCCTCGGCCCCGGGTCTAGTGCCTCCTTGTGGAGAGAGTGCGGGAGTGTGAGGTGTGCCCAGGCTCTGGCCAGTGGACGGGGTGCTGCAAAGGGATTCTCTCATTTCCTTCCTTCAAGCCTTTAATGCTGGGTGTCTGTGACCCTGTAGGGACTGGGAGGCGTTCATGGAGTTGTCCTTGAACAGTATGTCCACACTACAAGCGCGATTCGTTGAGCTCGGGTGGGTTCTGCTGTCCACACTACAGTGCTGCTAGTGTACCAACAGGTGGCATACTTTGTGGCGACAGCACTTCCTCTTCATGTCTTATCCTTCGAATCGCACTGATAGACGAGGAATCTGTAATGAGCTGCCTTTGAATTCATGTTTGTTACGTGTGCTAATCCCAATTTCACCCGCATTTCATTTCCTCCCGTTGGGACAACAAGCTGTCCAGCGATGATGCGGTGAAGAGAGTGCTAGCTGGAGAGAAGGACGTGAAGGGAAGGGCCTCACTGACGTCGAAACCTCAAGAACCGGACAACAGGAATGTGAGAGAAGAGGAGCCCAGGGTTCCTAAAGATGAAGAGGTGATTCCGAGGCGACATATTGGAGCATGAGACAGTGAGTCTTTTTGTAGGTCAGGCAATGACATCTGTAAATGAGCTTGTTATTTGACTTTTTTTCTTTCAGGGCAGAAGAAATTTCTGAAATAAATGAGAGAAGTACAAGCAGAGATCGCAAACAAAAGAAGAATTGAGAGAAGAAAGCAAACAGAGGGAAAAGAAAGGGACAAGGAGAAGACCAAGGAGAATGACCGTGATCGACATAAAGACTCTGAGAGAGACAAGGGCCGCGAAGGGGAGAGAGAGAGGACCAGGACCAGGGCCAGGCCGGACAGGGACAGAGACAGAGGCAACAGGGACCGGGACAAGGATGTGGACCGTGCGCGAGAGAGGAAAAACGAGGGAGGAAAAGAAAAGGAGCGGTGGAAAGACAGGGAGAAGGAGCGCGAGCGAGACAAGGGCAGGGACAGGGATAGGGACAGGCGGAGGGTGAAAAACGGGGAGCATGCCCGGGACCCCGTCAAGGAAAAGATCCGAGAGCATGATAAACCGGAGAAGAAGGTAAAGTCCTCTTTGAAAATGTGAGCCTCTAACTTAGAGTTTGTGGTGTTCTCTAAAATGACTTTTATCTTCATTAGAATGTGACTAGGAAACTGATTTTTTTAATCGCCAGTTTAAAATTAAGAGAGTCTTGGATTCTCAGTAGAAACTGGGAGAGATGCCAGTTTTTTGCCAGGTGATTTCAGATTTGCTCTGTGCTGTGAGTGGTGTTTGGGTGTTTTTCTGAAGTCTGTGGAACGGCCGGGACCCAGCGTTGTGATTAGTGTTTGCAGGCTGGCTCAGTGGTGTGTGGGCCCAGGAGCCTGGTTGTGGCTGCATTCATTAAGGATTATGGCTGCTTCCTGAGTCTTGTAGGTATTTGTGGGTAGGTACAGTAAGTCCTTGGTTTCTGTATTTCTTGTTTAGTTAAATGTTCAGATAAATTTAGGATTGACCAGAAAATTAGTTTGCTTTCAGTGTTTTCTGAATGTACAAGTTGCTTTGGTTCCCTATGGATGGTATGGGTGTCCCGTCAGGCTAGTGTTCCAGCTGTCTGTTCTCCTGGGGGCATCATGTGGTTCTAGAGTGTTCTGGGAAGAAGGTCGTGGGGGTCTTCTAGCCTCCAGCTGCTAGAAAGGAGGGACCCAAGGTCTAGAAAGGTTCAAGGTCAGTTCAAGGTGGTGAGGGGCGAGGCCTGAGCTGTGCTGCCTCCAGGGACAGCCCTCTGGTTTTGTAGCATGGTACCTCAGGGTGCTGCACAGGGGGCCCAGGGGTAGATGGGCCTGGCTCTGCGGGAGGCCTGGGCACTGCACATAGGTTTGGTTAGTAATTGAGTTGTGATTTACTGGGAGCCTTGGGGTCCCCACGGGCCCTGGAGTAATATAACCTATGGCAGGTGTCATGAAAACCAGGGTCACCGCAAGAGTCTGAGAAATACGAAGACATTCCCCATGTTCTCTCACGCATCAATGTTCTCTCTCTCTCTCTCCCCCTCCCTCCCTTCCTTCCTTCCATTCCCTCCCCCTCCCTCTCTCCCTTCCTCTCTCTGAGATCAATTAAAAAAGAGAATGTTTAAAAAAAAAAAAGACATCCCCCATGTCTTGCTCTTTCCAGAGGTCTCAGAAGTTTGTCACCAACCTGCTTTTTCTGAGGCGCTGGCACATTCTGTGCGCCAGGCAGCGAAGTGAATGGCCAGTGTTCCCACTTGTTTGTTCACTACACCTGCTGGTGCTGTGACGAGGTTTTGATGGAGAGACAATTCTAAAGAGCGGTTTTGCGGGTGGATGTGTGGCACCTATTGGAGCCAAGTAAGAGCAGTGGTTTTGTGTAAATGTATGTGAGACCAGGGAGAAGGCGCTGTTCATGCTTGGAGCTGGGCCGCCAGAGAGAGACAGACAGACACCAGTCCCGACTTCTGTATGTAACCGGTGGCTTGGGAGGTGAGAGTTGCCTCCCTTCGACTTCTGTCCAGCTTAGATGGCGTTCTCAGCCTCCCTCCAGGGTTTGTGAGGAAAAGGTGAAATGGTGGGTGTGAAGTGCTCTGCGAAGTCACAGTGACATGTGTGGGGGTGAAGGACCCAGGCCATCTGTGGGCGTGACACCCTGTCTCCTCTGAGGAGACAGCTGGGTGCACCTGGGCTGGGGGCGCCCCGAGCAGGGTCATTATGGCCAGTGCCGTCTGTCGGTCAGGACTAAGTGATGAGGACATTTAGTTGTCGAAATGTTGACCAGGCATAATGCCCTCTGTCTTCACAGAGGAACCTCAGTGATTGTATCTCCTCTCCCAGTACGAGATGTGTCTTCCAGGGAATTTGATTCAAGGTGCGAGGTGGTTTTCACAGTTTTCCTGCAATTTGTCTAAAGAGGGCTTTCCTGGCGCACAATCTGGAGCCTCCCTTTGAGGGTGCCTGGCTCTCAGAGCCGGGGAGGGAGCGGGCCACTCTCCCCCACTGCCGGGCCCCTGTGTCTCACTAGGATGTGCCCGAGAGGTTTGGCCTGGCGCCAGGAGACACTGTCCTGCAGTTTCCCCGAGAGGCACTGCCTCTGAGCGTGCTTCCCCTGTTCTGCCCGTGTGGGAGTGGTCTGGATGGTCTTTTGGGATCCAAGCAGCTAACAGCCACAGGGGTCCGATCTGCAGTGGGACACGGGGAATGGTTATCTCACTGTTGTCAGCAAGAAGCATCTTGCATTTGGATGTCATTTTAGATGTAGTGAATTTGAATAATTCTAGAATTTGAAGAAAAACACTTTTTTTTTATAGTCATCAAGCTCCGGGGAGATGTCTAAAAAAGTTGTCCGATGGATCTTTTAAAGACTCCAAAGCTGAAACAGAGGTAAGCTTTTAAAAATAACTTTAAGAGACGCAAAGCTGTGGCTGTGTGGAAATAGTAACTGCTGTGCCGGGGCCTCTCCTAGCCACAAGACGGGAGGAGCGCGCAGCGCGGGCTGCAGGCCGGAGGGCCCTGTTCAGCTTGTCGTAGGAGCGATGATTTGAGTGGCTTACTGCCTGGACACACAGCTGGGGAGTGCAATCCTCCGGTCTCCTGTGTGGACCCCTGGGCTTCCTTAAAGCTTCATTTGGCAAGTGCTATGAATGGTGTACAAAGGGACAAGGTAGTCACTCGGGAGAGGGGAGGTGGCACTTTGGATGAGTCTGGGAGAGGACTAGTCACCAGGCAGACAGGGAGACAGAGGCCAGGCTCTGCGGGGCTGTGTGGGACCCCGCAGCGTCTCCAGTGGCAGGGGGTGGTTGAGGCTGGGCCCTTTCCTCTCCATGTGGGCCATCCTAGAGGTTAGACTTCCCAGCTCTCACAATCTAACTTGCTTTCAGAGAGCGCCCCCAGGCAGCTGCAGGAAAGAGGGACGAGGGGTGGGACTGAGGTTGGGAGGCCAGTTAGGAGGTCAGTTAGGAGGCCGACATGGCTGGTTGAGGGAGGTGGCAAGGCAGGAACTGCCAGTGGTGGGAGGGATGGGATGAGCTGCTTTCTCTGATCTGGGCTCACAGTTGTCTACGGATGCGTGATCAAGTGTGTAGCCATAGTGGTTGAATAAGGTATGGTTGGCTAGTTGCTGGCCTGCTCAGGGCTGTAGAGAAGACAGGATTCTAAATGTAGAGCGAGAGCGGGTTCAGCCTCCCTCTGACTCCTCAGGCCTGGCGTGCTTTAAATGCACCTAGTTGGTGTCAGTCCCTCTAAAGAGTATGGATGGCCTTGTTCTGTGTCCTGTTCTTCCTCGAGTGGAGCTTGGATCATAAATCTGCTCGTGGATCTCTGGGTGATGCATCAATTAATTTTTTTCATTCTCTTTAAGACGGAGGTTTCCAGTAGAGCACCCAGGTCAATGGCAACAAAGACTTCAAAACGGCGATCTAAAACCTCATTGGAAGGTACAGCAAACTGTATCATATAAGTGCCTAAACATGTGGAGAGTCATTTCTTTGCCTTAATCACAGTATCTATGGGAAAACACTCCTGTGGCTTGAAAGCAGATCTGCCATTGGGAGGATGAACAAAGACTGGGAAAGTGATGAAGATATATATGTGGCTCTTACACACATACATGAGCTCATGACACCGGGGCAGAGAGCACCTCCTTACTGGAGATCACACCTAGAAGATGTGATCCAATGTTAATTCTCTGGAAATATGTACCAGTCATCCATGTTTCAGCGACTCTTACCTTTGTATGATTGGCTGCATTTAATCCTGATGCAGGAGGGACAGCAAGAGCCTCCTGTTCTCAGGCAGGTGGTCCCTGTGCATTTAAAACAGCAGAAGTTATCACTGGGAAGCTGCAGGGAGCAGGCCTGGCCTGGGTTTGCCGAAGGATAGACTCATATGACAGAAATAACTGAGTGGGGAGAGCGAGCCAGTGCAGGGAAGTGCTGTTGAAGGTTTTCAGTTCAGTATAAAGTTACTTTTCCTAAATTGTGGAAGTTAAAGAAGTGAGGCAAGGATGTCATCTTTGAAATTTTTCATTTAGAAATTAAGCTTGGGTGTTTTGTTTTGAGTTTTTTGGACATGGAATCGTCCATCCCCTCTTTAACCATAACATGTAATACTTTACTGAACATCTGTGTGGGGTGGGTTCCCAGAAGTGTAAGCGCTGGCACGAAGGTTTTAGCTACGGGTACCTGCTGTACCCTCTGCCCCACTCCCGCTCCAGGGCTTCAAAGGCTCGCTGGCTCCCTGGACTTCCTAGTGAAACTGCATACGCTGTGGGTCAGTAATTCTCATCGACTTCCTCATTTGTCTGTTCTTCCCTTTGCCTGATTCCTTATTACTCTCCTTAGAGCCTCGGTCTTAATTTGCATAACTTCCCTGTACATGAGGGACATCTGCCAATTTTTAAAAAAGTGTTTGTTTTTTACATTTTTAAAAGTTCATTTCTATTAATTATGTTTGATTTCTGACTTGCCCAAGAGTTTAATTTGTTTGCATTGGAAGCTGCCAGTCTTTTTTTTTTTTTTTTGTCCAGAGATTTGAGAGATGAAGACTTTGTATTTTGTCATACATTATTATCAATTGTTTTAGCTATCTCTTACTTTAATTCATGGTGGAAGGTGAGGCTTCAGAGTCTTTTTTTCTTTCTTTCAGAATAACTCAGCAGTGTTCCGGGATCACTTACTAGTGATTTTCCTTCGCTCGTGCTCTCTGGTCTCCCTACACGCCTTTTTAAACTTCCACTGTTTTCTGTTTTACTACTGGTTTCCTATCATTGTTCTTTAAAACAGCTTTCAGCCCTTTTGTCTACTCTTCCAGATGTATTTTTAAATCACTTGATGAGTCAAAGAATCCCACGACCCAGAAACAAAACTACCTTAACTTTCCTGGATTTAGTTGGATTTGTGTTAAACTCAGGCTTCATTATGTGGGGAAGACTGGATACCTCTAATTTGGAGTTATGCAGGCGTCTCCTTCCTCCCAAGATGTGTGTGCATGTGTGTCTGTGAGTCAAGGTTTATTTGGTCGTTTGTTTTGTTTTTAGTTTTTTGGAAGTGGAATCTCCCTTCCCCTCATCATTTTTAGTGATTATTGTTAGAATGTAGATGCGTTATTGATTGTTGCAGTTGTATCCTAAATCAAGCCTTGACATAGTTCTTCTGTTGACTTGTTGGGTTTTCTGAGCTGACGGTCACATTGAGTGCTTTTCTTTTCTGCGTCTGAGTTCACGGGCGAGCTTGCACTGTGGAGTTCCTTTAGCAGCGGTTCTCAACCTGTGGGTCACGACCCCTTTGGGGGTCGAACGACCCTTTCACAGGGGTTGCCTAAGACCATTGGGAAACACATATTGTTTTTGTGATTAATCACTATGCTTTAATTATGTTCAATTTGTAACAATGAAAATACATCCTGCATATCAGATATTTACATTACGATTCATAACAGTAGCAAAATTACAGTTATGAAGTAGCAAGGAAAATAATTTTATGGTCACCACAACACGAGGAACTGTATTAAAGGGTTGCGGCATTAGGAAGGTTGAGAACCACTGCTTTAGAGGTTCTTTAACACATTCAGCTGTCGGAGGTTTGCAGCTTTGTGGAATTACTGAGCTGTCAACAAATTGGTGGACTCTCTTCTTTCTTGCCTGCTAGCCAGGGCATTGACCTCATGTGGATCCTCACCCAGCAAAGCGGGCACTCCCCCCTGACACTGACTTGTTGGCATGGGAGCATCGGGAAAAGGGCATGAGGCCCAGGAACTCTGTTCAGCTCGAAGGATAAGCCTATATGTACTGGGGTGTGAGGTGTTATGCTGTTGGACACATAGGATTGTAAAGCCATTCTAGAACCCATATAGAATCCAGAAAACATTATGCATGAGAAGATAACTTTTGCCTGTTCTTAAATAGTACATTATAGCACAACTAGTCACTTTGAGTTGGTGAGTGCATTTAAATTTCATTTGATAACTGCAGCATTACAAATTCAGTTTAGTACATATTTTCATTGAGTAATTTCATGTTAGGAAGAAGG